TTTATATGTGTGCTTTCTTTATTATACTTGGTAGTCTTTGTATGCCCTGCAATAGGGTGCTTAAGTTTGTCCCAATTTTATAATTAATGATTCGTACAGCACTGGGATTTATATTTATATCTCATATCCACCTTGAGTTTGTTTTTATGCATAGGGCACGATTTGGGTCCTGTTTCATTTTTCTGTTGATGGAGATCCAATTTTTCCAGCACCATTTGATTTGTTGAAGAAGTTAACCCTTTACCATTTAATGTTTTTTGGTCCTTTCTTGATAATTAATTGCCTGTAAGTGGATTAATTTAGTTCTATTCTATTAATTCTAGTCTATGCCTCTATCATTATATCAAGCTATTTTGACCACTGTGGTTGTATAGTAGGTTTTAGGTTAGGCAGTGCCAAGCTTATTAATTTGTTCTTCTTTTTGACAAGTTATTCATTTGTTCCAGGTCTCCTTGCTTTCAATATGAAGTTGGTAATTCAGTTTTCCATTCTTAAATTATAAAGTTGGGATTTGGATAGGCAATCAGTGTATTTGGAGATAAGTTTAGGTAGAATTGACATTTTCATTATATTAAGTCTTCCTATCAAAAGGCACAGGCTATTTTTCCATTTGTGCAGGTGTCTTTTGGTTTGTTCCGTGGTCTTTCTTGTAATGTTCCGTGGTTTTGTTTGTACAGGTATTTTATGTATTTACTTATTGTTAAGTTTATTCCTATGTACTTTATCTTTGGGTGTGGCTATTGTAAATGGTATCATTCTTTTGATATTATATTTGGAGCTCACCAGTGGAATATAGGAATCTGGTGGATTTCTGCTTGTTAATCTTTACCCTGCTACTTTACCAAATCCTTCTCGTGTTTCCAATGGTGTTTTTTTTTTTTTTTTTTTTTTGGATCCTTGGGTTTCTCTTCAGCAAATAACAAGAGTTTTCAGAGGAAATATTTTCAGTTTTTAACCCATTGAGCATAATAGTTGGCATTGGATTTTTCATATATGGCCTTTATTAGGTTTAGGGATTTCCTTTGTATTCGGATGTTATAGACTGTTTTCTATCAGAAATAGTTGTTGGATAATGTCAAATGATAATTCTGCATTTATTGACATGATCACGTGGTTTTTATTCTTTGTCATATTTATGTGGTGATCACTGATTGATCTTCAGATATTGAACTACCTTGCATCCCTGGTATGAATCACACTTGGTCATGATGAATTATTTTGTTGTTGTTGATATATTGTTAGATTCTATTGGCCAGAATTTTGTTGAGAATTATTGCGTCTATGTTCACGGGGGATATTGGTTTGTAGTTTTCTGTCTTTTTAGCGTCATTGTCTGCCTTAGGTATCAGCATTAAGATTGATTCATAGAATGAGTTTTAGAGTATGCTATCCCTTTCTATATTCTGAAATACTCTGTGTAGAATTGGTAATGATTCTTCACAGAATACTTAGTAGAATTCCCCTATGAAGCCTTCTAGTCCAGGGGTTTTCTTGATTACCTTCTCTGTTTCTTCTTTTGTTATAGGTCTATTCAGGTTTTCTACATTCATTTGCACCTTTGAGTAGATTATTTATTTTTAGATATTTGTCTATTATATATAGATTATCAAACTTGTTAGAGTACAGTTTTTCATAGTAAGGTGTTGTTATTCATTTCATTGGGATCTGTAGTGATGTTACCTATTTCATTGCCACCTCTAGATATTTACATTTTTCCCTTTCTTTACCTTTGTTAAGTTTGTCAATTTAGTTAATCCTTTTAAAAATCCAACTTCTTGTCTTGTTGATTTTTTTCCTCATTGGTTTTCGGTTTTACAGTTCATTTATATTTGCTCTAATCTTTATGATTTAGTTTCTTCTGTTTTGGGGGGCCTTTTCTCTAGTTAGTGGAAGTGCTGTGTTAAGGTGATGATTTGAGATTTCTGTTTTGTTTGATTTTAAACACAATTTGCTAGAGAGTACATATACATTTTCTAATGTTATGTGTTCTGGTGTATTTTCCCTTTACTTGTTATGTAATGTCTATTATTGTCTCTCATTTTGTTATTTGCCTTGGAGTCTATTTCATCAGAGATTAATATTGCTACTCCTGCCCGGTTTTGGTTGCCATTGCTTTGTAAGATTTTTTGGTCATCCTTTGATTATTTTAGTCTATTTTTGTCTTTGAGCTTAAGATGTGTCTTCTGTAGGCAGCCCAAATGGATTTATTTGCTCATCCAGTCTGCTACACTTTTGATTGCTGCAGTAAATCCGTTAACATTCAATGTCATTATTGATATATGTTGGTTTGTTGTGGTTGTTTGGCTGTGTTTATGTTTGGTTTCTTTTACTTATTGTGTGTGTGCTTTTATTGTTGTTTTTGTTTCACTTGTAGTTCTGTATTGTTTTGTGTGCTGCTTTCATTGTATTGGTTTCTGGGTGATGCTATACTGTGTGAAACACTCAGATTTTTCTGCTGTTGTGGTTGGTTCTCTGTTATAGGGATCCAATTAATATTTTTTGCATTGCTGATCTTCTTTAAAAAATATTATTGGGGGCTCATACAGCTATTATCGCAATCCATACATGTGTCCATTGTGTCAAACACATCTGAACATACGTTGTCATCATCTATTTCAAAACATTTTCTTTCTACTTGAGCACCTGGCATCAGTTCCTTATTTTCTCCTCCTTCCTTCCCTCCCCCTCCCACCTCCATGTCTCCTTGATAATTTATAAATTATTCTTTATTTTCATGTCTTACACTGACCGCTGTCTCATTTCACCCACTTTTTTTTTGCTGTCCATTCCCCTGTGAGGGTGGCTATACATCAGTCATTGTGATCCATTCCCCCTTAGTCCCTTTCCCCCTACCCTTACCCTCCTAGTATCGCTGCTCCCCTTATTGGTCTAGTACAATAGAAAATCTGTGATATAGTCATACAATGACAAAGTTTGTTGTTCAGTGTCATCGAGTAGATTGCAACTCATGGCAACAACAGACAAAAACACTTCCAGGTCATATGCCCTCCACACAAGTATTATTAGTTTGAGCCCATTGTTGCAACCACTGGGTCAATCCAATTATTGAATGTCTTCTTCTTGTTCACTGACTTTCTAATTTACCAAGCATATTTTCTTTCAGGGACAGAGTCTTCCTGATAGCATGTCCAAGTATGTGAGAGGTCTCATTGTCCTTGTTTCTAAGGAACTATCTGTTTATACTTCTTCCTCGACAGATTTCTTTGTTCCTCTGCCAGTCTGTGGTATATTCAATATTATTTGCCAACATTGTCATCTAAATGGATCAATTCTTCACCAGTCTTCCTTATTCATTGTCAAGTTTTCATATACATGTGAAAAGACCAAGGTTTCGGTCAGTTGCACCTTGGTCCTCAAAGTGTTATTCTTTATTCTTTGGTACATTAAAGAAATCTTTTGTAGAAGATTTGAAGATATATTTTTTAGATTATTCTGTTTTTTAAACTTTTTATTGTGCATTCAGTGAACACTTGTAAAACAGATCATCAATTTTGCATCTAACAATTCATACACATTTATTCTCATCTTATTAATTGCAACCCTCTTAATGTAATATTGCTTACCCTGGTTACATTTTTTTGTCTTCTGTTTCCATTCCTCTTACTTTCCTAGCCTTTCTGTAATTTATCCTCAGGTAAATACAAAATTTTAAATCTCATTATTAAAAATTGTACTTCATGATTATTATACACCTGCCAATGGTTTGGCTGAAAATTGATCCATGTCCAAGAGTTCGTTTCCAGATCTGAAGGTGACTAGTATATTCTCCAGGGAATATACTAGACTCTATTCAACCAGTAAGTCTAGCCTCTTTAATTTTTCATATTTTTCTCTCACTCTATTGTGATGGTCCCTTTCAGAGTAATGACATCTAGAAATCATCTAGTTATTTTGGTTTCATGGTGGAGGAGGCTGATGTTCATGTGGACTACTAGTCCATTACTTATTTCCATGTGTTTTCAATTTCTATCATTGTTCTTTCCTCCAGACAGGGAGAGAATAAAATTTGAACCTTAGATGGCTGCTCATGAGCTTTTGAAGACACTAGCCACTGCTCACTAAAGTGGGATGTGGAACATTGTCTTTGTGGCCTATGTTATGCCAATTGAATTTGGCATCTTCCAAAAATATAGTCTTCAGCTGCCAGACTCATTGGCTCATTCCAAGGTATTTGGTTGTGGATGAGAAGTTTTCATAACTTTGTCCCCTGTATGCTGCACTACACTCATGGATATTTTTGTAGCAAAAACAAAAAGCCCATATACAAATATTTTCTGTCAAATCTATATATAATTGGGAACATGCTCCCACAATCTGCTTTGCACACAATCAGTTGGCATGTCTGTCGATGCAAAATGTTATTGTCATTAGAGACAGCATCGTGTTTACCTCAAAGTAAGAGGGAAAACACAATGCAACCTGTGGATTCTGATTCATAACCACCTCATATGAGTCAGTGTAGAACTGCTGAGCTTTCAATGGCTAATTTTTCAAAAATAGATAGGTCTTTCTTCCAAAGTGCCCTGTGTGGCATAAAACTGCAAACCTTAAGGTTAGAAGCTGAGCTAATTAGCTCTTTGAACTAGTTAAGGGTTTATAACTGGGGATGTGAGGGAAAGTTAGGAGAGCCAGAACAGTATTTTTCTTTTAATTAATGTGCTTGGTTATAAAAGTGTTTACAATATTATTTTAGCTATAAACTGAACACATGTTTTATTTTTTCTCCATGAGATTTGTATTTTACTATTAAAAAAGAAAAGAAAAATAAAAACAGAATCAAAACTCAAACCATTTGATCTTGCATTAGTTACAATATATTTATAAGTGGTGCATTCTGGTAGTATGCCAATGTGAGAAACGAAGCAGCAGCTGTATGTAAGGTCTCATTTTTAGCTCATAAAACCCCCACAAAGCAAAAACAAAAATCCTCCTTTAGTAGAATAAAGTAAAAATATGAAAAATATTGTCTTGATTCTTAGGTTGGGTCATTAAATGCATGCTTTCTTGCAAAAAGGAATTTCCAAGTTGATGTATATGAAGCTCGGGAAGGTAAGTAAATACTAAACATTTTGAAGGTGTGGTTATGATTTTTCTGACCTCTTTGTCTTTAGACTTTCTGAATAAAACCCAAACATTTTAATAAAAATTTTTTAACAATAAGAACTCTTAGAGAGACTTCTGGGAAGATGGCACTGAGGTAGGTGTAACCACTTTGGGAGTTCCGTGGCAATTGCTGGGTTTGGTGACTGGGAGGCTGAGTGGAGCATCCAGGATGTGCAATCAGACCTTGTGGCACCCTTGGGATTTGCTCTGACCCATGAGTTGACCTTCCCCACAGTGTTGATCTGCTCTGCCCCAGTCCCATATGCACTGTACAGCTGCCGTGGCCTGGCCTGGTGCCTGAGCCAGGCCAGCATGTACCACCCACGCTGCATGGTCCCCATTAGGCCACACTGCACACATCCCATCGGCATCCTGTGCAATCAACCTGCCCAGTGCCACCCTCACACCCTGCGATCACCATGCCTGCACAGCCTGAGAGGGCCACCTGAGCTGCCTCCTAAATAGATAATCCAGTATGTCTAGGGAGAGAGTAAGCCCCAGTGAGATAGAGATGCAGCTCAATCTCACAGCACAGTTGGTTCCAGGTAGTTGTTAGAATCATTCTTATTATGATTCTCTGAGAGTAAGTACAGGGCTCCTGGACTCCAAGGAAAATGGCCCAGAGCTCCACCAAAATGACATGTAGACAAAAAAATCACTCCAAGAAACAAAACCCAATGTCTGACTAGGACCTGAACCTAGTGACATACATAGAAGATGCAGACATTGAATGACCGCAGAAAGAAATCTGAAGAATTCTGCTTAGAGTCATACAAGATATGAGGGAATCAATACAGGAAAAGGTTGAAATAATAGAGATGATAGAGTCCACATACAAAGGTAAATACAAAAATTAAGGGATGATGCAACAGAATCAAAGAATACCGTAAGAGACCTCACCAACAGGCTAGCAGAAATAGAGAACTGTATCAGTGACCTTGAAGATAGCCAAGTGGAATTCAACAAACAGGAAAATCAATCAAACAAGATAATTAAAGAAGCTGAAGAAAACCTGAACAATGAGTGATGCTGTAAAAAGGAACAGCATTCGAATAATTGGGATACCAGAACAAGACATTATGATGAAAATAACAGTGAGGAAATTCCTGGAAGAAAACATACCCAATTTAATGAAGGAGAATCAGGGAATCTTCCAGGAAGCAAAGAGGACACCATTTAGACTGAACCCCAGGAAGAATACAATAAGGCATATAGTGGTCAAATTGTTCAAATTTGAGGAAAAGGAAAATTTCATAAGAGTACCTAGAGAAAAAAAAATGCAGTCATTTATGAGGGTAATCAGATAAGCATATACTAAGAATTATCATCAGAAACTATAAAGAATAGGAGAGAGTATAATAGCATCTTCTAAAAGTTGAAGGAGAGAAATGGTACCCCAAGAATACTATATCCCACTAAACTAATCATCAATTAGACAGAAAAGTAAGAGTGTTCCTGGACAAGGAAAAATTTAGAGAATACTTAAAAACAAAAAAACAAAAAAACCCAGCACTTCAAAAAATTCTTTCCAACTCTTTGGACAGAAGACTAACACCCACAGAGCACAAACATGAGAGCTCCACGTAGTAAAATGTTATCTAGAAATCAATGCACTTACATCTAGGCCCCAAACATCATTGACCTAAGAGAAAAGAAGGCAAGAATGAATCCCCTCACACATACACAACATACTGCTAAGAAGGCAGGTAGGAAAATATCTACCACAAAATGTACAAGATGGCACCAGAGAATTCACCGGTGGATGTAATCATTCTGAAGGTCAAAGATTTAAATTCCACCATTAAAAAACAAAGGCTAGCAGACTGGATTACGAAGCAAAATCCAGCGCTCTGTTTTCTGCTAGGGACACATATCATGTTGACATACAAAAGCAGGTTGAGGATTAAAGGCTGGGGAAAATATATCTACCTAATGGAAATTTAAAAAGATCTGGAGTTGCAATTCTAATTTACGACAACATCGATCTCAAGGTGCAGGACATAACAGGAGGTAAGGATGTGCACTATTTAATGCCCATCAGTAGACAAACAGCCAGAGAGCATAATAAATATATATGTGTCCACCAAGAGACCTGTGAAATTCATCAATCCAATCCTTAAATAGATGAAATAAGAAATCACAGGATTAACAATCATAATAGGAGGCTTCAATAGACTGCTGTCTGAGAAATAAAGACCAGTGGGAAAGAGGTGCAACAAGAAGGCTACAGAACTAAACCGTACAATTAGACAACTTTCCCTGATAGACATATGCAGACCTCTCCACCGAAAACAAAAAAATTGACATTTTTTGTCAATTGCACATAGCACATATTCTAAAATAAACCACATGCTGGTACACAAGTCAAACTTGACTAAATGCAAACATAAAGAGATCACTCAGACTTCCTTCTCTGAACACTATGCCATAAGTCAACAAAAGAAAGATTTAAAAAAATTAAGGTATATTCTTGAAGGATGAATAACTTTCTTCCTCAAAAGGGGTGGGTACTGGCCCAAATTAGAGACAAAATTAGGAAGTTTCTAGAGACTAATGAGAATGAGACTACAGCAAACTCAGTTATAAGAGGATGTCTGATAGCGATAAATGTACATATGAAGAAGGAAGAGAGACTTATGGTGAATAATGTTGCACAAAACCTTCAGCAGTTGGAACACAGTCAATGGAATAATCCTTCTAATAGCAAAAGTAAAGAAATCATAAAAACCAGGGCAAAGATAAATGAATGGGAAAACAAGAAAACAGTGGGAAAAAATCGACACAGTAAAATTCTGGTTCTTCGAAAGAATTAATAGAATCAACAAACCGTTGTCAAATCTAACAAAAGATAGAAAGGAGCAGATGCATGCTTCATCAAAAAAAGAGGAAAAACTACATAAGATGCAGATACCACCTCTGCTGAACATCTTACCCCAGACTCAAATAGGCCTTTATGGCCCACAGAGGAGCGGGGGAAGAAAAAAAGCCAAAAATGGGGGACCAGGGCACTAATCCACCCAAGGGGAGGTTACTGTTTATGTCTCCACAGGAAAGGGAGAGAGATTAGAACTCATTCCGGTGCGCCAAGCCTTGAGGCTGACGTTCCTGCTTGGATCAGCTCTTTCATCCAAAGGACTGCAGGGTTTGTCTCAGCTCAAGACATGACATCCCCTCCATAGATGACAGTGCTACAGATGGCAGCACTGATGATGCTTCAGTATCTTCAGCTGGGAGTGCTGCCAGTCTAATCTGCGCACATGGGGGCTAACCAAGAGATGAGTGCAACAGACCAGCGATGGGAGCAAAGCCACAAAGTCCCTGAGAAATCCAGATTGTAGAATTATGACTTGGGGGGTAACGCTCAGCACCTCATCTGAATTGGTTGGGGGTTAATCACACTGAAAGTCTAAAGGTATATCAGGCTGGGGGTTGGGGTTGAGGGGATGCTCTAGACCACTCCATCCCTGACTTTAGGAATAGCAATGGGGAATTTTAGGAGGCACACCTCTCAGGCATGAATGCTGAGGACAAAAAGGGTGTAAGTGCTGATAGGTAAGCAGGTCCTGGGATATGGAACCCTGAAAGAAATAAGGAATGGACTGATGGCTTATACATGTCCTCTCTGTTTATCAGAGAGATACTTATCAACTTTGTGTCAGGATAACAGTTAGACCTGGAACTATTCATATGGTCTTTCTTCTTTTCTTCTTCTTTTGCTATCTATATAAGTTGGATAAATAATCCCAAGGAGACAGTGATGGGACCAGTGGTTCCAGGAGGGCCTGGCAAGGGAGGAGGTGGGGTGGTGGGGAGGGGAGCAGTGAGCCAATTATGACAGGGATATGGGAATAGCACGGGTTCTAAAATTAATGGTGAGGGGGATATAGTGGTTCTGGTCATGTGTGATCAATTGAACTGTATCTGAGAGGAATTACTGTGTGGTGAGCAATGGGTAAACATGATATAGGGGCAGGAGGAAAGGAAAAAGAAAAAGAGAAATGAAGAAGAAAGTGATAATTATATATATATATAGGTATAAATATATATGAAATATATAAAGATAGGTATATTTGTCAATGTATATATATACATATATATGTGTATGTATATACACCATAAAGCAGATGGACTTTGAGCCTATACTTAAATTTTACCTCAGCACAAGAATGATTTGTTCTAATAATGTGGGACTCTATGATATTCACCTTCCCAACATGATTGCTGCAGACAAAATGGGTGCATAAGCAAATGTGGTGAAGAAAGCTTATGGTACCCAGCTATTAAAAGAAATAGCATCTGGGATCTTAAAGGCTTAAAGTTAAACAAGTGGCCATCTAGCATGGAAGCAACAAAGGCCACAGGGAAGTGTATACTAGCCTGTGTGATCATGAGGTGTCAATAGGAATAGGTCCAAAACCAAGCAATAAAATTGACGTGAAGTGTGGACAAAGTGGAGACCAAAAACCCACCTGCAAGATAATGGACTGGCCCTCACAGAAGGGACACATGGACAGGATGATATATCCAGGGTACGGTATAACACTGATGAAATACATAAATATTCTCTAGGTCTTTAATATTTCCTCCCCTTACCATTATGGTCTTTGTTTTACCTCATTAATCTTGTTACTCCTGTGTATGTTCATTTGCATAATTAAGATTGTTCAATGCATGAAAGCTAAGATAGATAACCCTTCTGAAATAGAAATGGTAGTAATGATTCCCTGGGGGTATGGGAAGAGGGGGGTGGGGAAATGGAGAGAAAGGGGAACTGATAGCATTGATGACTGTATAACCCTATGCAATGGGAATAAATAACAGAATGGTATGTGAACAGATACATTCGATGGAGTAAGATACAGCAAATTATATATCTATATCGATATAGATATAGATATAGATATCCTGGGGGATCGGGTGGGGGAGGGAGGGGATAAAGGGGAGAACTCTTAGATTTTTTTAAACCTCAGATATTTTAATTTCATTTAATATATATTTAATACTATTTACATTTTCTTTAGAAGAGTTAACAAAGTCTTTTATTTTGATTTTTAACCATCTAATTATTGAGCTGTGATATGTTTGCCTTGCACTATGATGTGAAGAGATGTATGTAACCTTGATTCTGCTTTCAACGTCTTAGATATTCGAGTTACAAAATTTGCACGTGGAAGAAGCATTAACTTGGCCCTTTCTTATAGAGGACGGCAAGCCTTGAAAGCCATTGGCCTAGAAAATGAGGTATCCTATTAATATATTTTCCTTACAGAACATATTACCTAATGTCTTTTGAGCAATCAGGTAAGCTTGATTTCACCCTAATTTGAAGAACCAATTACAGTTACAATTTAGTCTCAGTTATCTTATATGGGGTTGTTCTGACTCAAAATCGACTTGAAATGGACTCTCTAGCAATGTTTTAAAAAATTTTTGTGGATTTTGTTTGTATTTTCAAGCACCAATTAATGTTAAGTACCTCTACAAGAAAATTCATTTAAAAAATGCTTTCAAACACTCACATTTAACACAACAAGAAATTCAACACTTTAGTATCTACAGGGACCTGAACATTAAAAGATATTGCAACCACACACAATGACCTACAGATTAGGGACTCTACCTATAGAGCCAGGGAGAGGAGAAGGCACTCAGGATTAGAGAAAGCAGGAGAAATTCATTATTTTGACTATACAGGTTTACAATCTGATCTACAATATTGTACCTTAAGCACTCTGAAGATGTAAACTTGTATCACCTGCTTGACAGAGACACCTTTCTATGTCTATTTGTCTGTCTTTCTACTTCCTTTTAATTTCAATATGCTTTTCTATATAAATAATGTGTTTTATTATCAAGAGGTACCTCAGATCTTGGTAGATGTTATATAATATCCACCAGATCATCTAACTTATTTAAAACTTGAAGTATTTTCTAAGAGTTTGGCTCAGAGATTGTCAATCTTCAGATTTTCTTGACATTATCAAAAGTAGTACATTTTTTCTTGAGTCTGTGGTACCAGTAAACCACTTAGAGTGGAGTCGACTCCAACCCATTATGATCCCATGTGTGTCAGAGTATATCTGTGTTCTATAAGGTTTCTAGTGACTAATTATTTTGGAAATTGATTGACAGATTTTTCTTATGAGACATTTCTAAGTGGACAAGAACCTTCAACCTTTCCTTTACAACTAAATATGTTAATTCTTTTTTCACCCAGGGACCCCTAGAAATGGGAAATCTAGGCTATTTCCATTTTTCCTCATTATTTTTTTCTGATCTTTAGAAAATAACCTACCCTCTGATAGCCATAATTTTTCAATCTGAAATAACATGTGGAGCGGGCCATGTAAAACTTAAGTCATGTCTATACGTAAAAGTTACCAAAACCAAACCAAACCAACAAAAAGCACTAGAGTCTCACAGTTTAGGCTCTGATACTAATCCATCCTTTGACTTTGGATTATGTGGATTACAATCCTTCAGTGACTGGTGATGGTGTACTTCTGCCATGTGGATTTTGTTGACATCTCACTTAATAGCTCCCTATTTGGATACAAGCCTTTAAGACACCAGATGTTATTTTATCTGCCAGCCTGTCACCATCTAAATTCCTTACCACATTTTGCTATAGATGATAGTGGGAGCCCAAGATTTATTTGTGGAACCACATAGGAAATAAGTCTCTGGAGAACTCCCCCTATCCCAAATTGAGGGATGGGAGGAAAGTGGTCACTAAACAGATTGCTTGGGAGAGATAAGTATAAAAGATCAAATGCATAAATCTGACATGAACAGTTAGAACCTTGTCAGTAGATCCCCCCTTGGATGCAGGCTGGACCTGATCTGGTTTCCAAAATTTTCTGTATTTTGGGTTGTTTTTTGTTTGTTCATATTAGAGTGTATCTCAGAGGTGTTATGTCATTGAAGGTCACCCTCTTGCAATTGAGTTACATGATTTTCTGTTTTTCAGTATATGAAACCCAGGATTGATCAGCCTATAGGGATAGTAAGCAGATTAAGGGTTTCAGGGTAAAAAGTGTACAGTGAAAGTGGGGGGTGGGGTGGGGGGTGTGTGTAAAAGGGAGACAATGTCAAGGAATTCATGTGGAAAAAGAATGCCTGGAAATTGGTTGGTAGCAATTATACAATTCTTGATTTGACTGAACTATGGAGTAGTATATGTATTAAATCCCAATTAATGATAAACTAAAAAATAAAGATAGGCCAAAGTTTTTTTAGAAAGACACTTTTAAAGAATCATTTTATTGGGGGCTCATACAACTCTTATCAAAATCCACATATACATCAATTTTATAAAGCACATTTGTACATACTTTACCCTCATCCTCTCAAAACATTTGCTCTCCACATAAGCCCCTGGCAACAGCTCCTCCCTCATTTT